GCACTGAATAATTTTAAATAGTGATCAATATCATAAATGAGAAAGTCTTACTCGTATTTGTGTGTGTGTATGTGTTAAGCATAAATGGCTTTTTCCATTTCAGCATGGTTCAAAATAAAATCAAGTATAAATACTCAATGACTGGGAAGCCTGTTATTATGTGCCATGCCGCTGATGTAATACCAAAGGAAAAAATGTGAAGAGTTGTGGAATTCACATTTATTTTTCCATATTGAGAGTATTACATGACTGTTCAGACATCTTTGACGACCTTGTGGTTGCGTAAGGTCCATATGTCACAGGAAAGCAGATGCAGAGGATTGTTGCACTGAATAACATCATGCCTTCAGCAGCATATTCCATCAGCAACTGCCTGCCTGCTCATTTGCACTGCAAGGGAGATGAAAGTCAACGTTGTATTAATCGATTAGGTTCTGCATTTGAGCCAATTTATTATTAAGAAAGGATTTGTGTTCTCCTGTTCTGGCAGAGAGCAGTCTCCTGGTCAGCTTGACACCTCAAAGCAGGGCAAACAGTGCTGCTCTGATACAGGCGCGTTTGGGATCTGTGGGCTGGGTGCTTCTGCATTTATTTGCATTGAGTTAGTTATTTTGTGAATAGCCCACTGACATCAAGGTAACTATTTGCAGAAGAAGGTACACTGTTTAATGTGAGCATGGTTGGCAGAGTCTGGCCCGTGGTACTTTGCCCATGACAAAACGTGCCTGTCAGCACGGGAGCTGATGTGGTGTCACAAACAATCACAGCTCAAAACTAGCTGCTGTCTTGATGGGGATGTGAGTGGCTGTTTCTGGAACAGATAAGAAGTCCTCCTGTTGTATGAAATAAAGATACTCGGGTACTGCAGAAAGATGCTCAAATTTGAACTGTTTTCACAGGTGTTTGTTGAGTCTGGGGCTGGACATTGGTTCTCTCTTCTCTCGCTTCTTGCTGAAAGTGGAGAAGGACATTGCTTCCCGATGTGCAGTCCAAAACTCAGATGGGCAGTGAACAGGTGGTACATTGTCAGGCTATTTCAGTTCATGGAAACCATTTGTCCAGTTTTAGATTGCTATTGCTAGCTGTGTGGCTTTTAGTTTTGAGAAAGAGAAGAGGTTATTTAAAACTTAGATGACTCCTGTTTGCCTTTCAGAGCATGGTGGTGGGATTTAAGAAGGAATGCTTAAAGATCACAGGCAGCTTCCCCTGAATCTATTTTATGCAATTCTCATTTATATCCAATGTGAAGTAAATATGCTGAGAAAGAGCTGGCTCAGCAGTTCAATTCAGTGAGGCATGCACAGATATAGTCTGGAATGGGTGTTTGGGGCCCAAGCGTGATGAGCAAGAGGGACAAAGAGGCAATTAGTTCTGATTTCTTTGATGTACTTCGTTCATATCATTGCTCCACAGCCCACTTGGATGTAGTTCATCCAGGACCCCAGGTCTGGGGAGCTGGTGTGTGTAAAAGCTGGTCACTCCTCCAGTGTCTCTGGAGTCAGGACAGAAGAGACAAAAGTCAGTGATGGGTTCTCAGACACAGAAGCTGCCCTACCAAAATGCAGCACAAGAAATTTGCTAGAGGAATGGTGATACAGAGGGAAACAAGCCCATGGTAATGCACAGTGTTAACACTGAGTTACCAGGAGACCTTTTAAACTTTCAGGAGTATGCTGGATAATGTAATTTTTCAGCTTCTTCTAATGAAGCATCATACATGAGATTCCAAACTGGCTGGAGGACATAAGTGGTCAGTGACTTTGGAGAGGAATAGGCCAGGGAAGGATCTGTTGGTGTATAGGGGCAGGCATATGGTGCAGGAGCACTCGGACATCCTCGGAAGAACCCAGTAGATTGACATAGATATTTGAGCTGTAATATAAGGAACAAATCTGTTAGTCTCCCAAACCTTCAGCTTTCTCTCTTCCCCTGTTTACCTGCTGCCATGTGTTAGGCTGTACAGGACTAGATATATTTTTTGTACATTAATAATAAATTTATAATAAAGTAAACCCATATCACCATTGACAATGTCAAAAAAAAAAAAAAAAAGAGAAAGTAGTGGGCTTTGGAATTCTCTCTCCTTTTTACTTTTGTTGGCCAGTAAACTTTCCCAGAAAACTTTTCACCTTCAGCCAATCATAGAATCATAGAATCGTTTAGGTTGGAAAAGACCTTTAAGATCATCCAGTCCAACCATTAACCTACACTACCAAGTCTACTCTAAGCCAATCAAGGGTAGACTAGACTAAACCATGTCCCAAAGTGCCACATCTACCCGTTTTTTGAACACTTCCAGGGATGGTGACTCCACCACCTCTCTGGGCAGCCTCTTCCAATTCTTGACCACCCTTTCCATAAAGAAATTTTTCCTGATTTCCAACCTAAACCTCCCCTGGCGCAGCTTAAGCCCATTTCCTCTCGTCCTATCGCTAACTACATGGGAGAAGACTCAATGTCTGATGAAGACTCTCAAGACAGTAACAGTGATGTTCTAGAAAAAGTGGCAGTCATACTGGGGGTGGGTGTTCATTCTTCTTGTTTGTGATCCAAATGGCAGCTCAGAAGAAGAGTCAATCGGACGCAGTTTGTCCCTCAGAAGAGAGGGAAAATAGCTTATGAGGGAAGCTCATGGAGACCAGTGCCGTATATTTCCTAGTGTACGAGTAAGCCTGAGATTTAGACTTGTCACCTCCCTCGTTCATGTCCTTTGAGAAGAGATCCCAGAATGGCCGGCCACCTAGTGTCCTCTGTGGCTGACTTAGCACCAGCTTAAGGGTCAACTTAATGTTACAGCTAGCCTGTGGTAAAGGGCTGCCAGGAGTGACATCCCTGCTCTTCCCCTGCCACCAGCCCCTCACCCCACATGGGATCTAGCAGTCCTGCGGCCACAGTCCGTTCAGCTGCTGATTTGATGGCTGTGCCTGCGAAGAGAAGGAAGCAAATAGGCCAGCTGAGCTGCAGTGTCCACTTGGTGCATTTGCTCTAGATCTGGGAAGTGGGAGCTTTTCTTGGTAGATTCCCATTTAAGATTTCAGACTGTGTCTTCATCCTGTGTTGAGATGCAAACAAGTGCTGCCATTTCTTCCATGGCATTCATTTTGGTCTGAATTAAGTTCATTAACGTGTTTATCTAACCCCTTCAACTTAAGAGTCTCTTAGTTGTACTAGACAGAAGACAAATTCTCTTCTCAGTTGCTGCTCTGTTTCTAAAGCTGTTGCGGTTTGCCAAGAATCTAATCTATATCAAGTAAGATTTCGTGACAAACGATATCCAGCCTGCTAAAACATTCACTGATTTTCTTCACTTGCTAGCTTTCAAACTTCCAAACTTTTTTGAACTCTTAGCAGCTGTCGCAACCCAACTTTAGGATGCTGACTGTTACACAAGCTTTTCAAAGTGGGAAAAGGAGTGGAAATTGCAAGATGGTATCCTTCCAGGCATGAATATGTACCCATTTTGTTACCCATTCTGTCCCATTAATGTTGCATCTATGCATGAATAAAGGTTCCTTTTTCCCCCTTCATATCCTTTTACTTACCTTTCACTTAAATTCTTTGACATATCTTTCACATATCCTTTCACTTACCTTTTTTCAATAGGTACCTATTTCAATGTGGAATTAGTAAATACCAGCCATAGTTGATTTTCTGTCTCTCACGTTCTCTGGCCATCAGTTTACTCTGCTCACAGCTAGTGATTGCATAGATGTAGTTATATTGTCCATGCTTGGGGTGATGCTTAAGAAATTGTACTGTTCCTCTTCATGCAAAATAAATAACTTGGTCTTGAAGTTGTCCATTTACAACTTCAGAATACAGGAGATTGCAAAAATGACTAAGTACTTGTTGGGTGGAAATATTCCAGATACAGAAATTGAATTATTCAGTTCGATGGATGATAACAATCAGGGAAGTAATTCAGTCCCCAGAAGAAACTTCTGGGTTTGAATGCAACATGTTAGGCACTAATATAGCACTATAAGAGGGAACTGTTGCTGTGGATATTTTTTTTCCCCAAAGTCTCTCTGTAGATAAGAGATGAAGAAGAGAATGAGAAGAAACATCTTAATTTAAATAGCGTTCTTTCAAAACATAAGCCTTTTTTAGTCTTATGGACATTCTGGTTAAACTTTGGGAATGGTGCGTTTTCCTAATTATTACTGAAGTAACAGACACACAATTAAAATGTGGCTGCAGAAAATGTCTGCATATATTTTTATACAATAGGACATTATACCAATCTTGTGATTTTTCCTCTTGTAGGTAATTGGTGTCAGTAAGACATTTTGGGCTTTTAGATGGAGGCTGGGGTGGGTTTTGTGTGCATTTTTGTGTGTGTTTGGTTTGATTTATGTTTTTTTTTCTTCCTTCATCTGCAAGAATTGTTTTAGTAGAAGGAGATGACTTATTCTGAAAGACGTCAGATGCAAGAAAGATGTTTTTTTACAGTGATCCCATAGACCATAGTGCCATTAGTCTTCAGTAGCACTGCTATTGCTTGTTTCGGGGTCAAATGAGATAGGTCTGTAATTATGTGTGGTGAATGCAGTGCTATGGGTCCAAGATTATGTTTTACTTGTTCTGAGATAATCTAGAGGGATGTCATGCGGCTTGAGATGTAGTTTATCAAAAATACCTTCTTTCATTGTTCACTGCTTAGCTTAATTCAAGGGAGATTTTGGGAGGATTAGATATTTCTACCTGTGATGCTGCAGCTGGCACCAACTGTGCAGCATTCCAGAAACATAAAGGAATCTATTGCCTGCCAGGTGTAATACTGTGAAGAGGAGGGGAAACCCGGGACTTTTCTTAGAATAAATGCCAAATACTAGTGTTCCAAAATGATAAAAATTTCTCTTGCTGCTGTACTTATTGCCAATCTTGAGATTGTGTTATTTTGACAAGCTTTCAGCTGAAGATTTTATCCCTATTTTTGAATGCAAAGATAGGAGATGGATTTGAAAACGGTAACAAAACCCCTTCTTTTTTCTCATTAGATCCTTCAGATGATGAAGCTGTTGAGAAAGCAAGTGATAATAGGACAGCAACACATCAAGATTCAGATTCCAAACCTGTTGTGACAAAGAAAAGAAAGCAGGTTTGTAAATTTAGCAGTTGGGTAGAGCACAGAGATGATAATGTGTTGGGAAGCATAGTCCCCTTGCATTCAGTCAAGGGACGGTTTTCTTCACTCTTTGTCTGATCATGTAATGAGATTGTTTTATTAAATTATTTTGCCTTATTTGAAAGTGATCACATTCCAGTATATTTCAATAATAACTTCATTCTTGTTTTGTGTGAGTTGAGATTGCCAGGCCTGTCTCCTGCAAAGTGACTGTCTAGTGATAAAAGCCTGGATGGTGCTACCAAGTGTCCTCCCCTCTCATCTTTTCCCTTTCCCTGTACCTGCAAGGTCTTGAAAGCTATATTTAAATGTTGTACAGCATGTCTACCCAACCATGTCCCCAGTGCAAAGTCCAAGTGAAGAAGAATTTAGATCTACAGGGATTGATGTTTTCATAGCCTTGCACTACTAAAAGTTTCCTTTAAAACCAGTAGGAACTGTGTTGTTCAGCATTACATGGAGCATGCCAAGGAAAAGGCAGCATGGTCTTTGACAGACAGCATCACCCCAACTTGAGCAAAAAAGAGTCACCTAGAGGTCAGCTGATTTTAAGAAGTCTCTTGTTTGAAGGTAAATTTCTTCTGCCTTCCTGATACCATACAGGAGAATTGACTGAACGGCTGTCAAAGAGCTAAAATGACATTGGAAGCTATCTCTCCTTAAGGTCATGGATATTAATTTTGACGCCTAGGTCAATGCTAAATTCACTGTGTGATGCCTAGGCAGTTGCCCAAGTGAAAACCATTTGCCAGGGGTGTTCTTTTTTTTGTAACAGAGAAGTGTAAACAACACAGTAGCAATTACTATGCTTTTGGGTGTCTTTCCAAGGAGACCAAAGGTGAAGTGAGCCAAATACCTGAACTGGTTCCATGTTTTGATTAGGAAAGAGAGAACCGAGCAGTACAGGAGAAAGCTGTATTGCCTTTGTACATGCTCTACTGAGGGGTCAGGTGCTGAGGACTTGAACTCAGTGAGGATGCCTGTGGAGCCACATTCTATCACGATTATCTTCACTTAAGCATTTGGAACTAAGTTAAGATAGTTTGTTTGGAGGAGTTGCTTTGCTCTTTCTATGGAAGTGTTCAAAAAACGGGTAGATGTGGCACTTCGGGACATGGTTTAGTCTAGTCTACCCTTGATTGGCTTAGAGTGGACTTGGTAGTGTAGGTTAATGGTTGGACTGGATGATCTTAAAGGTCTTTTCCAACCTACGATTCTATGATTCTAACATTAGAAAGGATAGCCAACACAGGGTATCCTGCCAAGGTGGACTGGGACTGCTCAGCTGTAGCAGAACACCTGCCACAGCTCTTCCTGTCACATTTTGGAATCAGTTTAATTGATGTTTAGCCACGAAACTCCAGGAGGCAATGCTTTATGGGAGCTCAAAGTCATGGATGTGTTACTGCATGTCTTTTAGAGCAAAACCCTCACAAAATCAGATGTATCTATGGAAAGCTAGTAGTTTTGTAGTTCTGGTGCATATAACATAACCCATTTTACTCATCCCTGCCTTATTCACAGGCTGGAAGCTATTCTGCAGTGGACTTGGCACCTTAAAGCCAGTCAGGAGACAAAAAATAAAAATAAAATTATGAACATTTATGTTTCTAGTCTGCAGGCTATCCTCAGGCTTACAATGAAATGAATAATTTGCCTCCAATCTGAATGGCGCATTTATGTGTTTACTTTGTTACAGACTCCAAAAGTCAGAGTATATGGCTGACCTAGAATGTAAACTTTCACACACATGCAAAAATGTTTTCACTCTACATTTGAATTTCCAGTAACTTGGCAACATGTAAAGAAAAAAAAAATTGTTAGAAATATAATACAGGAAATATTTTATGTTCTGTCTATGATTAACAAACAAGGAATTTATGACATTTTAGTTCATAAATCAATGGTCTCAGCACAAATTTCCTGTTTTCTGCATTTTAAGCACTTCCCTGTAAAAATAGCATAAAAACACAGAGCACAAGGGAGCCATGTCAAAAACCAGTAGGTTGCCTGCTCTGTGTCTTGCATAAGAAAAACATGCACATGACCTTTTCTTAAGGGTGGCATGCAAAGAGCTATTGAAATTCTTAGTAGGCAACTAACATTTGGGTAAGGGTCAGAAGTTCAGTCTAGATCAGATGCCTAAATATTTTAGACTGCAGATCATCAAAGACATGTAAGTTTACAGCCATTCACCACCATGAAGTTTCTGTTTTTCTTATGGCGTTATTTTTAATGTCTGAATAAAGTGGACTTCTTATTGCTGGGCTAATAGTATACTATGAGTAAATATATATGTATATATATATATGTGCTGTTGTAAAGGAGATAATTTTGAGTCTTTAACATGCTTCTGTGAGGAAGCAAGGCTTTGACCACAAGCCTGCTGTGTACTTCTGTTGCTGTTAAAAGAAAGGGTTACATGCTGCCTTCAAAGGAGAAGCGATTGCATTTGGTGATACTTTTAAACATCTCGGTGCAGGGTTATCAATGAGAAAATTTTGTTTCTGTAGAGAAAATTTTTCAGCTGTGTGGCATGGTTTTATTCTTTTCTCATGCAGATACCGGTTGGGAGTGTTTTGCAGATTTATGTAAACAGCTCACAATGTGTATGAAGGGGGACATGGGCCTGACGTGAATGAGTGCTTTTTCCGATATGCTGAAAGAGTGGTAGGATAGGGGTATCCAGGGATATTTCTAGGATAGGGAACCATCATATTCTGCTGGAGGAAAGAGATTCAAGTTGGCCCTTTTCTGTCTTTTTGATTGCTTGGTAGTATCCCTTGACTAAATCAATCCAAAGGCTTGTTCTCTGCGTAAAATATGATGTTGAACATGGAATTTATGATTAAAACACGTGGCAAGTGGTCTTTGAGTATCTATGGAAGATAGTATCTGTTTATACCTGAGAAAATCACAGGGACAGATCTCTATTGTTGAGGCAAGACATGGTCCCTATCACAACTTCTCATGGGGTGGGTATTGATCCAGGCTGAGTTATACTCCAGCCCTAGTTGTAGAGTGCTTTGCTGGCCGTAGCCAGTCCCCAGCCAAATCTTCTCTGGTAGTTCCTAAGTATCATTTCAAACCTCAACCAGTTTCAGGGCCACTTTTATACAGTGCTACTGCCTTTGCAAGTGCAATGGCTGTGGTTGCATCATGGCACAGAAAGCAGGAGCAAGCAGTAGGTGATTTGTTTGTGTTGAGCATGGTGGTCCTGGGTTTTATAGCTAAATTAGCCAGGGAAGTGGGGAGAAAAAGGGAAATGTGGGCATAATATGAACAACTAAAGTCCACAAAATGCTTCTGATAAGGATATGAGAGTGGGCTTGAAAATGCACAAATGTGCTGGCCAGGGTCATATAGCACCAGTTGTCATGAAGTCCTCCTGTTAAGGGGGGGCAGTGCAAGCAGGGCTCAGAAAGGCTCAGATACCCTGAACTTCTGTTAGCGTTCCTTTGGCCCTCTTGGCTCTGTTGAAGCTACCCTCACAAGGGAACAAAGGAGCAGCTTCTCTGGCT